GGTTCACATCATACTGGTTGACACAATCCATCCACAACCATCTAAACTAATTCAGATATTATTTACGAGCTATTACATTAAAATCTTAAATTACGTTGCAGTTCATCATTAAATCTACCAAATAAAAAGAAATACTCTATGAAGGAGAATACTAAATATTAACCTTCATTGCAAGTATTTGCCAACAACTGTTATTATAAAACAAATTATATTGAAAATATTCTCAGCATACCGGGTACTAGATGAAATTTGATTCAATCAAGCAAAAGAGCTAGTCTCAAGTTATTTTAATATAGTCATCATACAAATAACCGAGATATAAATGAAATATTCCAATCACGATACTTTCCAACAACGCTTATTATAAAACAAACTATCTGTAAGTGTTACAATGTTGCCTTGTTATTAGGATAGTTAAATAAGTGCAGTAGTAGCTAGTATGGAGAATATCCATATTTGTAGTGCTAGGTAAGATAAGTAATGACTTAACGTGGATGTTGTTTGTAATAGTTCATTACATATTTGATATTGATTGTAATTATGTGACAGATAGCAGTAAGATGATTCAAGTTCTAGTTGATGATAGTTGAATTAGACAACCTACGAGCTTAGATTAAGATTAAGTATGAGTAAGAGTTTCAAAATATTTACTGATAGAAAAGCTATGTAAGGAACATCTCAGTTCGAGATGTTTCTCCTAGTAAGGTATAATAATAATACTGTTGTTGTTTACAAATTAGGCGGTTCCTATATAAACGGGAACATTTGAGTTGAGTGGGGTGGTAAAAAGTTGTAGATGTATCTTTGCTAATAAAAGTTTCATCTTTACAGTCTTTTACTGAATGTATTTAACGTTAAGTAAAAGGGCGTTTAAGTCAGCAACTACTTATAGACTTTTACTGTACGTTACCTTGTCGCAGAAGTGAAATTGTGACAGTAAGAAATACGTAGAATATACCATGGTAATATATGTCTATAATCATGATTGGAGTAACGACATCATCATCGTTAGCTTTACTTTCACTCGAGATTTCGTTGTTATAAAATACTCTTGTTATATCCTTGTGGAACTAGCAATTAGGACACACTAGACAATTAGAAATTGACTATTCCTTTATTGAATAACTGTCATGACTTAATCTAACTCTAAGGATCTAAGACTCTGAATGGGTAGCTAAACTCTCAGCGTACTAGGTAAAATTTAGTTCAACTGAGCAAAAGAGCTTATCTCAAGTTTGTTTAAAATAGTCATAAAATAAATAAGCGTTAGAGTCAGACAAAACTTTCTAATAACGACACTTGTACCCAACTGTTGTTGTAAAACAAATTTACTGTAAGAAATGCGTCAAATATACCAGCCAACATACTTTAATAATTATAATTAGCCTTACTCTCATTGGAGAACCCGTTATTGGAAATATTTTTATTTGCCAGCAAGTATTACTATAAAAGCATACGAGGTAAAATGTGTAACAAATTGTTTGTAAGAAATATGTAAAATATGTCAGGGTAACATACGTCAATAATTAATTAATCATACTTGCAGTAACAACATCATTATAGTTAGCCTTACTCTCATTCAAGAACCCGCTATTGAAAAATATTCTTAACATACTAGGTGAGATTCAGTTCAATCTAGGAAAAGAGCTTGACTCAAATTTATTCATAAGAGCCATTAAATAAATAATCGATAGAGTTAGATGGAGCATTCGAATGGCAATATTTGCCAATAATTATTACTATAAAACAAACTATCTTTAAAAATGTGTAAAATATATGAGGCAGCATACTTCAATAATCATACTTGGAGTAGTAAAATAATTATAGCTAGCAATACTCTCATTAAAGAATCCGCCGTTGAAACTATTCTCAGCGTACTAGATAAAATTTGATTTAAAGGAGAAAAAGAGTTTGTCACCAGTTGGTTTAAAGTAATCATGAAGTAAATGACTAATAGAGTTAGATAGAATATTCTAATGACGATTATTGCCAGCAACTGTTGTTATGAAACAAATGATCTGTAAAAAGTGCGTAAAATATACTTGTTATGATTTAATATGAATTGGTTGCACTACAAAATACACTACAGTAATTAGTTAAAGACTTGGAACCCTATACTCCGATGAGATTTGTAACAATACCTGGCAATATATATCAATGATTATACTTGAAGTAATAAAATAACTATACGAGTAGTTAGCATTAATCTCATTCGAGAACCTCCCATTGAAAAATTTTTAAGCATACTAGGTATAATTCAGCTCAATTGAGCAAAAGAGTTTGCTTCAAGTTAGCTTAAAAAAGTCAAAAACAAGCCACCAATAAAGCCAGATAAAACTTTCTAATGACCATACTCGCCAATAACTGTTTTTATAAAACAAATTATCTGCAAGAAATTGCGAAAATGCAATTTATGAATTAACTATTAGTCTAATTGGATTAGAAATATACCTTAAACACGATTTACTGACGGTAGAAGATTGTCCATATTTGAGTTATGCACCTAGCAAGTTACTAGAAAGAATCTGTAAAGCTTTGAACTCTGTAGCAAATCCCGCATTTGTAGCAATAAATAGAAATCTAGAAGCAGAGTCAGTAGAAAGTGATAGAGAATAAACAAAAATAATATAATCTGTCTATTCGAACCTATTTTATTACTATACCCCTACTTTAGGACTTCATCGTATAAGACCCCAGCAGATGATTGCTAACCAAACTTATCTTTAGTTGACTCAGTTGAATTGATGATTAATTTTATCAAAACTATGAAATACGTATAGTAGCAAGATGAAATTTTCTAGCGACAATATTTACCTCCAACCACTATAAGATAGATGAATCTCAAGAATTAACTACAATAAAACCAGTAACATACATCAAAAGCCATATTTAGAATAGCAAATAATTATTATCACACTGATCCTCAGTATGCTAGAAAGAATGGGGTTAAATCGAATAAAGATCTGGTCTCAAGTTAGTCGAAAACAGTCGTGAAAACCTCGCTCCTCAATTTTTTAAGCCACGATATTCAGTGATAAACACATTTTCAATTTGAATTTTATTTTTAATATTAGCGGTTGATTGGTATCTTTTATTTAAATCTTAATATACACATTTGCTATATTATACGAGAGTATTGCCAGAGTACTTCATTGATGTAATTAGTCTACTGATACTTATGGACGGCAATATCATATGAAATACTCTGAGTTATGTTGAAAAACCTTTGCACGCATAGATATTTTTAGTACGACAATACTGGAATATCTATATTGACTACAATATTCTGCATGCAATTAGTCTCAACGGCCAAGTAGCTCTAGCACTATACGTAAAAAGACTTCTGGATAAAAGTCAAGTATTACATAGATCAAAGAATGCTACCTAAATTTGAAATTGAGTGACAATCCTTAGCATTTAGTGCTGTACCTCACGGCTAGAATAAATGCATTTTCTATAGTGATACAATATATGAAAGGTGTTCGCTTTTCTAATAATTTATTCGTTGTTAAGCTACAATGACTAAATCATAACCTTCATCGATACCCTTGATTTTCTTACAATTCCTACCGATTTACGATTTCTTTTAACAGTAAAAGAAAGTAATCTTTACGACTAAAGTAGACTAAAGAAAGAATTTTAAATTACAAATCTTTACATTTACTTGCTAGGTTAAATTTACTAAAGCAATAATTACAAAGACTTTATGATGTCATTGAATCATTGCTCCTAAGGTACTTAATGAATCGAATTTCAGTTTCATTCTAAAATTCATGATCGTGATTTCACCAATAATTTCCGGATGGGATTTAAAGACCAACATACGTAGATAGCTATTAAAAACAAGACATAGAAATACGATCGTATAGGTATCTATATGCTAATTTCCCCTAAATGAAGTTTATTTTAGAAAAATAGTGAAATTAGAACAATCATATCACCTTGTATTGATCTAAATTATGACCGCTGTAAGATATTCTATTACAGATTCCTACTATAACTATTCAGATTTTAAATCTCTGCTACGAACTCAGAATAACTTAGTCACTTTATATTTACCTAAATTAAGACAGTTAATGAAATATCATTTTACAGAATATTTGCTACGGGTAATATATAGATTTTAAATCTCTTTTACGAACATAAAATAATTTAGTCACCCATATTTATTGAAATTACAATAGTTGATTTAGATATGATATTGTTGTGATTTTACGTACACTCGTATATTTTAGTATAGTATAGTAGTAATTAACTGGTATAACCGATAGGTCGGAGAGTATATTCGCTGGCTAGCTCAATAGTTGAACGAGTAGTCATAAAAAGTGTAACAGATATTGCAGATTTTTAATACGGTAGTAACTATTAAGATTTTAAATCTCTTTTACGTACCGAATATGAGATTGATCTTTCTTAATAATGACATAGGAATAACTATCTTTCAAGTAATATTTATTAAATTGGTGATATAATTCTAGTTGAGAATGATTCCATTCTTTCGAACACGATGAAAGCAGGCAGTAGTAAATGCTATCTGAGATATATGGAATATCGTTATGCTCGTATCCAATACACAGTCATTTGGATCGAGTATACTTTGCTAAATCAAAATATTCTGCATCAGGCTGAAGTAAAGAAGGTATAAAATAGAGTAGATCTAGTGAATTTTGTCTATCATCAGATTGAATTGGACAAATGATATCATACTTTACCATCAATTTTAATACCAATCTCTTATCATACGCGTATGAATTAAATCCTTGTAGCATATAATCAAAGTATCTCTTGGATATCTTACCAATGGTAACCGATTGCTGATAATAGTAACTTACGGTTGCACTTTTGGATAAACATGTATCTAAATAAATAGTTTCACGAAAGATACTTAATAACCAGGCTACCTCTAGCACAATAATCCCGTTGACTGTTCCTTTAGGATATTGCACAATGTCGCCAAGATCATGTAGGTACTACAGCATAGAGCCTAATTCATCATAACTCATTATTAAAGCTATCCAGTCATTTTATAAAATAACCATTGTAATTATATAAAATTGCCTAGAAATAAATTTTGAAAAGCAATGAGCTAACTACTTGTAAAGCATCCAATCACTAATTGATAAGCTGTTAAATTTCAAATTACAGTGAATGCAATGAACTAAATTGAAATTACTCAATTTTTTATCAGGCTCTATGCGAGTAAATTGTTGACATATGATACATGAAACATAAAATCCGCTGTCTACGCTCTTGAATTTAGGTAGTCTTTGCTTGACTATTGCCGTTAGCTTCTTTCTTATTAAATCTTGAGGACGCTTGATGTGAATGAATTCTTTTACAGTTTTCATAATTACACGGAGATCTTTATCTTCATGCTCATTCTGATAATAATCTTGAATCCCAATATGAGATTGACCTTTCTCAATAATGATATAGGAATAACTATCTTTCAAGTAATATTTAGCGCCATGATGATATAATTTCACTAAAGAATTATTCCATTCTTTCGAGCACGATGAAAGCAGGCTGTAATAAATGCTATCTGAGATATAAGGAATATCGCTGCGCGCGTATCCAATATACAGCCAATCGGATAGAGTATATCTTGCTAAATCAAAATATATCAGGCTGAAGTAAGTAGGGTACAAAATAGAGTTGATCTAGTGATTTTGTTTATCATCAGACTGAATAGGACAAATGATATCATACTTTACCATTAATTTTAATACCAATTCCCTATCATGCTCATCTAAATCAAATCCTTGTAGCATATAATCAAAGTATTTCTTCGATATCTTACCAGTAATTACCGCTTGTCGATAATCGTCAATTACGGTTGCAGTTTTGGATAAACATGTATCTAAATAAATAGTTTCACGAAAGATATTTAATAACCAATCTACTTCTAGCACAACAATCCCATCGACTGTCCCTGTAGGACAGTATACAATTTCGCCAAGATCATGTAGGTACTGCAGCATAGAGCGTAAATCTTCATCATTCTCATACAGTCCATAATCTCGTGCTAACTGGCGTACTTCTTCCTCCCTTACGATCTTTCTACCCTTTTCTAGACCATTGCTACTAGCACAGCTAGGCTCTTGCTCTAATCGTTTATTGGCTATGACATACATAATTTCTGCTGTAACATACCATCGAATTGGAACTGCATTGCGTATGAACGATATTGATGTTGCAAGCTTATTAATGATATGATGTAAACGGCGACAGCATTCTCGTCGTTGTTCGACTACAGACTGGCAATTATCTTTTGGATTGCAGTTAAATATAATTTGGGAGGAATAGATATTGCATCGATACGCTGGTAGATTTGAAATAAGAGCCTGTTCAAATCGTTTAAATCTTCTAATTTGTTCCAATTCTCTTTCAATCTTATCAGCGTGAGAGGCAACCAAAATAACCACCGGCAGGCAGTATTCTTCTGTATGCTGATCGCGTTTTGCTTGGATCTTTTCCCGACAGCTATTTGTGCCAATAATAGAAGTTAACCATTCCTGCACAACTTGTAAATAGGTCATATCGCTTATGAAGCCATCTCTTTTTACTATTTTATCGTTGATATTGTGAGCAATATTGAAGACAAGAATATAGATATCATTAGCTGATATGAAGGGTTGATGAGTAACATTGTAAATAGAATGGCCACCAAAATCCCACAATTTCCCATATTGGCAGTCTTCAGTATCCGCCAAATTAGACATTTGCAATTGGCGCTGACATAATTCTTTGTAAATGTCTAAGAAATTAATTTGAAGACTTGCCATAAGAGGTGTATCTGCATGCTGCCAAAGAAATACAGACTCTCCATTGCGGTCTATACTTTGGTCTAAAGGGTTACTTTGACTATCTAAATTAATGGACTCTTTTAAAAGTGGTTTGCTGTCGGCTATTAAAAAGGAACTTGAGCCTAAATGGTGTTACATTTTATTCCTTGCGATCGACGAGTCCATTTCTTTATTCGGAGAGGAAGATGGTACATTATTGAATGCTTGATTACTCTCGGAGCCACCATCATTATTTGACATAAAGTTTTTTTGTCTGATCCTCTCCACTGCATCAAAAATTTTGTTATTCACGCTATTTCGATAATCACATACTGTTTTGTTACAAATATTGTAAAATATCTCATTAAGCATTTTATTCGTGTTCCCCGTAATGTTTGTCTGAGCCATACCGCAAGGAAGTCCCTCTTCAGTAAACAGTTTCATTATGGAAGATTTTCCAACATTGTCAGGGCCAAAAATCATAATTCGTGTAAAATTACTACGACATTCACCTTCCTTCAATGTTTTGACGAAAGCTTGAAAATGGTCATTTTCATAATTATGAACTAGTATTAGCAAAAGAAAATGAAATAAAAGGTTAAGAAAACGATATATTGAAATAGAATTTGCATTTTACAGCTATCAAACAAAACAAAATCAAAAAAGATGGTTAAACAGTCCATTTATAAGCATAAATTGCATCTTTTCGATGAATTCGATTTATATTTTCGCTTTTAAATAGATTATAAAGTTGTACTGTAAGTCAACCGAGTAAATGTAACAAATCTTATACGAGTATAATGATGTTTTTATACTACCTCCATACATGATTATTATCTAGACGTTCATTGCTATCAATGTTTTCCATCATTTCGCTAATGTAAGATGCTAAAATAAATACGTTAGAGTGATTGCTTAATCTGACGCTAAGAAATACCTTAGCTATCCATATGTATATATGAAAATATAATCATTCTGTGACACAATTATACGCTAAACGCGCAAATGTAATGCTAATATAGTAATTGCAATTAAATTAGAGTACGAAAAATAGTAACTTAATTATTATGTTAAACGCGTACATATTTATCGTTAATGGACTTCTTTTACGGCATTTTATACGTCAACCACGAACAATGCTCGCGGTCTTCCACTTGTTTTTTATAATGAAACTTCTATATTACCTCTATTCTCCCCATGGTTATCATTTAGACTTTCAGTGCTAGTAATGCTTCGCATCGATGCGTAGAGGTCAAATGCTAAAATAAATATATTGGAAATTATTCCTTAATCTTAATAAATAGCTAATTTATAAATAATGAAATATCTTTATTACCTCGATTCTCTTCATGGTTGTTATCTAGACATCCCAAGCTAGAAATGTCTCCCATTTTTTCGTAGTGATCAATTGCTAAAATAAATATATTGCAAACTATTGCTTAATCTGAAGCTAAGAAACACCGGTACATTGACTATCCATAAGAATAAGCAAGCGAAGATGATGGCTGAAATATTTTAAGATAAAAGCATAGTACATTTAGCTATAACGCTAACATACACGATTCTTCATCATCGTCAATGCTTGATTCCATGTGGCAGAACTTGGTTCTACTTTCTAGTTTTAAAATATCAGCATCTTTATTTAGCATTAGCCACGAATGGAGCTAATAAAAAGACTAAAAAATATCGAAACGATACAATTTGAACATTACCGCAATTTTTATTTTCAGTTTCAGTTGGATAGGATTTAGGTCGTTGAACTGTAGTGCTGCAACTGTGATCACAAATCCGGACTCTGGTTGCAGTATTATGGCGAAAGTGATTATCCTCTTTATTCTGTTCATTCAAAATCTTATTCAAATTACTGCTTACGATAGCCATCTGAGCGAGACCTTCCCTACCTAAATGGATTAAAATTTTCATGGTCTTTTCATACATATCTATTGCTTTGTCGTGTTGTGATAGACGACCATAAGCTATTCCAATATTATTATAACTAGTTGCAACTTTCATGTGCTGACTTCCATACAATTCACACCAAATTTTCAAGGCCTTTTCAAAAGCTGAGATAGCATCTACATATCGACATAAGTGATGGTAGGTAATCCCTAATTTTTCAAACGATGCGGCAACATTTACTTGATATCCCTTCCCCATTTGTGGCCAAAGATGTAAAGCTCTTTTATGCATATCCAAGGCTTCATCATACTTGGCTAATTTAAAATATGTAACTCCAAGCTGAAAGTATGATCTAGCAAAACCGGAATGATTTTTACCAGGACTTTTTATCATGATTGCTAAAACACGTTGATGCATCCTTAGTGCCATTTCATATTTTGATTGACGGTAATAAATAACGCCTAAGCAGTGACACGAATTACCAATACTCTTTTCGTTGGTTTCAGGCAAATTTGATTTTATATTTAATGCTTTGTTAAACATCTTTTCAGCTTTGTCGTATAGAAGCAATCTCGAATAAGCGAGTCCCACATCGTGGTGTAATTCAGCATCATCTTCATCAAATGAATTTTTTCTAGTATCCATAGCTTTATGGTAAAGCGACATAGCCTGGTCGTATTTCGATTGTTCAAAATAAACTTTTCCCAATTTATAATAAGTGTAACCTGTTGATCTATCGCTGGCTCCGACTATTTGAAACTTTATCTGGAGCGATTTCTCCAAGTCCTCAATAGCTTGTTCATATTTACCTTCAAGCCGTCTAATATCACCTCGTATATCCAAGAGTTCAGCAATTCGAGGTTGGTCATTCATTTTTTGAGCAATTGTTTCTGCTTTTCGATTGTATTTCTCAGATAGCAAGAGTTCCTTGCCTAGTAAGCAAACTTTCGATAGCAAATAGTAGATGTAACATAAATTTTCTTCTTGTCCGCCGTGTTTAGCATTTTTAGCCAGCATTTGTTTAGCGACTAATTCATAATAGAATCTCGCCGTTTGAAGATCGTTAGTTTTACGTTTTACTTCGGCGAGTTGACATAGAACAGTTTTTTCATCTACAGAGAGTTTATCAAGTTTATTCATATGGTTACCCATATCGACATCCAAGGTAGTATTACTTTAGTAGTCGCTGGGAAAATCTACGATGAAATCATGTCAATAAATAAATCTTTATTATGCGATTAATCAACGAGACTTAGAAATGCATTAGATGGTTACTGCATTTAGCTCAATATCCTATTGATATATTCGTGAACACTATTAATGAAATAGGAAAGTATTTTAGTATAGATAAAATCTATATTATAAACTACTTCAAGCTATTAAGTACGGTCGAAATAAATACTAAAAGCCGAAGTAATGCAACGAAATTGGAAATCAATTTTTCAAATCATTCCTTAGCTAGAGCAAGACAGTGTAATATTGTATTCTAAGTTGATAATATATTTAGTAATGTCTACCGTAGTTACTGTGTTCAATATGTGATAGATATTCTTGTTGGAGGCTTAAGTATTAAATATAGCTAGTTTAGTAACTGTAATCCTTTTGAAGAAGAGCGCTACAGTGCTCACACTAGAGCTTTACATGAAAGGTGTAAACTGTCCTGTATTTGAGATGCTAATACTGAAGTGTGTAGTAAGTAAGGTGCTAAAAGACTGCGAACGCGGAAAAGTATATAAGCGAGGAGCTTATTATAGCAAGATAGTTCTTTCTCGTTAGAGATCCTCGGCTAATCGATTATGTTATATCTTCGTTAGCGAGGTTTTGTTCAATAAATCTTAATATTCGAAAGTTTTGAAGATTCTTGATCTATCAACCTCACAGCTAGCTAATCTATTGATATGCTCACGAACGTAATTAATGGATTAGGAAAGCATTTTAACATTAATAAAATCTCTAACTTTTGGAACGGGAAAGTATTCCAGAATTGCTAAACTCCATAAATTTTAGCAGTGGTGAAATCGATAAACTTTGGAATAGGAAAATATCTCAGCAGTAATAAAATTGATAAACTTTTCCTGTAACCTTTAACTGAACCACTCAAAGCTATTAAAAGCGGTCGAAATAGATACCGGTACTAAAAGCAGAAGTGTGATGCAAAAGAATTCAAAATCATTTTTTCTTTCTTAAATTTACCTTTATCGATAATGGCGCTGCTAAATGAACAAATAGTATTCTATTTCTAGCCTTTTTATTGCTTTGCACTTTGCTGATCCTAAACAAACTAATTTCTAGTGAATAAGCGGTTTATAACCGAGGAAATGAATTTATTTATTTAAGTTTGCCTTGTATTCGGGTATTTATTTATAACTTTGGAAAAATTTCATACATCA